GGGGGGGCTCCTCCGGCTGCGGCAGGCTCGCTCCCGCGGGGCGAAGGTCCCAGGCCGGCCGGGGCTCCGGCTGAGACGGGGAGACCCGGGGCGCCACCCTCTCCCCGCGGCTCCTCCGGGGCCCAATTCAGCAGCAAGGCTGCCTCCTTGCGAGTCGGCAGGGAGGGACGTAAACAAGCTTCCCTTTGATCCCGGCTTGGCGTCGCCGCTACCTGGCCACACCCGTGATGGAGGGCGGGGTGGGTGGGTGGGGGGCTCTGCAGGCCAGGAGGGTCCTCGGGTGCCAAAGATTTGGGGAAGGGCGGGGGGCGGAGGGGGACAGAGGGAATGACTCCTGGAGGGTGAGAGTTTTGCTTTGAGCAGGTTTAGCCTCGGAGAGAAAAAGGTCCAGAGGGGAGTTTATTTGGGGACTAGACCCCCGAGGGGGGGGGGGGGGAACCGGGGGTCTGCAATTCAGGAACAAGGCTGCCTCTGAGCTGCACAGAAGAAGCCCCCTCCCTCCCCCCATTAAGAAAAGAGAGTCTGTCTCCAGGCTAAAAGCATCCAAAGGGAGCCATAAGGTGAATTTCCTCCAAAATGCCACCAGTAAAACCCACCCCTCCAAATCTTCCAGAAGTCCTTGAAATGTCAAATGCAGGTTTTCCTCCCCTAAAAGTTGGTGAGTGTGTGTGTGTGTGTGTGTGTGTGTGTGTGTGTGCAGAAACTAGGCAGCTTCAGCGAAAGGTGTCATCCTGGTTGGGGATTTCCTCCCCTCCATTGCCCGAGAAAAAGGGGGTCCAGTCCAGCCGGTTTCTTGTAGGTCAGCAGCGGCCAAGGCAGAAGTTCAACCCTTCAGCTCAAATTTCTACCTGCTGGCCGCAACGAAATGTGAAGAAAAGGGGAGGGGTGGAAGGCCTGAGCGGGACATTTGCTAAACTCATTTCTCTAATGGCAAATCCACCCGCTGGGTGGGTGGGTTCTCTTCCCCACCCCCCTCCTCGCCTATCCCCAAAAGTGGTGTAGTTTCCACTCTTTAGGATCAACCGAACAACCGACCCCTTAGTTGCAGTAGGAATTGACTGATGAACAACCAGCCGACAGGCAAAGAAATAGTTTCTGACTTCAGCGCTCGGGATAAAGAGTTGGAAAAGTCGTGAAGGTGCCTAGAAAAAGGGTGGAGGGGGCTGTCCAGCTGTGCTTCATCCCCTCCTGCCTGTGGTGGCCGCCACCTCAAATCTGGCCACAGGACCGGGGGTGGCGGGGGGGGGGAGAACAGTGCCCGGCGGAGACTTCATTCGGACAGCTTAGATTTCCATGCGCAGGGAGTTCTGGCTAACATGACAGCCATCGCTGCTCTCATCTTACATTTCTCAAGACATAAAAGGAGGCCTGGGGGGGGCGTAAAGCGGGTGGGAGCAGAGTCAGCTGGCCCCATAGCTCATTCAACGCTCTCTTCTCCTTCCTCCCCACCATCGGGCAACCGGCCAACCCAAAGGGCCAAGACCCTTTCCAGCCAGTTCAGCGCTGCTAAGGGCATCTTCCATTGATCCTCGAAAGAACGAGCAAATCTGCGAAGGGAGGCGTCCGACGCCAGGCTCCTCCAGCTGTCCCCCAAATAGCAGGAGGCCCAGTTGGCGAGGTTAGGACGATAGAGCATTCCCACAGTCCTGAGGCAGGGAGTCCCGCTGACCCCTCCACTAATAGTGCCCCCCCCCCATGGCTCCGTAAGTAGGTTTGCGGCGCGTTCTTTGGGCTCCCCGTAAGCTGTAGCTCTTCCCCCGGCCTGGCTGGCTTTCCTCGCAGGGGAGACCCTACGCCAACTGCTCCTTGGCCACCCTCACCATGACGACTTCCTACCGACAAGAGCTGGAGAAATACCGAGATATCGATGAAGACCAGCTCCTGAAGGAACTCTCCCCGGAGGAGCTGGACCAGCTGGACCTGGAGCTGCAGGAAATGGATCCAGAAGTGAGATCGGGGAGGGGGAGCTGCAGGGGGAGGGGGGGGGAACAGGGAAGAGGGGAGGGACTCTGGCAAACTCCGGATTCCCTTCTCAAACTCTCTGAATCGAAGGGCTCACAGGTGGCCTAGGAGCCTCTTCTGTTGAGGGATCGGGAAGCCGGGAGTCCTGCCCAAAATAGCAAAAATGTGCCATCTTTGGGGGACAACAAGAAAATTGCGGCTTATTTAGATGTGGCAAGTTGAGAGAGCAATAAGTGGTACCCATAAAATAAATTCATTTGTTCACTCGGCCCATTTTGATGGTTGCCCAAGTCAGACACGCACAGGGGACTCCAGGCAGCTTAAAAGATGAACGATCCCCAAACCCATCATCCTTTTCCTCCCCCCCCCCAGGTGGTCCTGCCCCCCTCTTACGCACTGTGTAGGCTCCTGGGCCAGGGGACACCAGGGTGCCCCCCCCCTGCAGAGGGGCCCAATGCTCCTGGTGGGGTTTTCACGGGGCGCGGAAGGAGGAGCTTTCGCTGTGGCCAACCCTGGCACCCCGGTTTCTGCTCTGCTTCCCAGAACATGATGCTCCCGGCTGGGCTCCGGCAACGGGACCAGACGAAGAAAGACCCCACGGGCCCCCTGGACCGAGACGCCTTGATGCAGCACCTGGAGAAGCAGGCGCTGGAGGTGAAGGAGCGGGAAGACCTGGTGCCCTTTACGGGGGAGAAGAAAGGTAAGGGCCGCGCTGCCCACCTGGGCTCCACTGTCCATGCCAGCAAGGCTTTGATGGGGTCTGGGGTCTGGGGTCCCTCCTTTCCTCCCCAGGGGGTTTCAGGACCCTGAGGGAGCAGAGGGCAGCCAGCCCCAACCGGAGCAGAAAAACCAAGGAGGAGATTTTACTGCATCCAAAACTAAGATTTCCCTGAAAAATCCCCGTTCTTTTCACTTCTTCTGTGTCCTGGATTCACTGTTGACCAGTAAAGGAGAAAGTTTGTAGCTCAAGGTTGAAATGAGGGGTCCCTGCTGGATTGCTTACTCGTAGGCGTTTCATGTCCCAACTAGGTAACAACGTCAGGGCTAGGTGGGGTTTGCTGCCAATGCTCCTTCTAGCACTGATGCTGTTACCTGGTTGGGTCATGAAACGTCTGCAAGAAAGCAGCCAGGAGCCCCAAGGGCCCCTCATTAGCCGCTTAAAAAGAAAAGTAGTTCCCCACCAAATCTGAGCCCCTTTGCAAACTTTCTCACCTCTTTCTCAAACTGTCACCCGGATGCAAGTCACGGAAACGTTCGATATCCTTCTTCCCTGCTCCTGGGGGCTCCCGTTTCAAGGAGGCTCGGTGGGCTCCATGCTGGTTGTCCCCGCATTTAGGCCAAAGACCCCTCGCCGTCTTCCTCCCTCCCATAACTGAATCGCCCAACATCTGACGGCTATTAATAAATCTGGAACTTCCCCTCTGCGTCCAAATTGCCGGCGTGAATGAAGGCCGTTTCGGGGACTCATTCCAGGCAGCAGGACACGGATTGTCATTGAACTCCGAGAATCCCTGCAATGTTAATGTTCAGTGGGGAGGAAAAGTGGGGGGGGGGGGGGGGGGAAATGTTGGGGAAGGAGGGAGGGAAGAAGGAAAAGGGAAGGAAGGGAGGAAGGAA